AACAGGTGTTCCTAATAATCCTTTAGGTGAGTGTATATGATGTTGTGGAACTTTACCATGCAATGAAAATGAAAAAACGTTCCAAGTACCAGTATGGAAAAAGCTTAATTTTCCCTCTTTCTCTCTAATCTCAGTCTTTGTTGTGGATTCAAAACAATAATATTAACATAATTTTGTCATCATTGACCGTAAACCTAGTATGATGCTTTGAGGAGTGAATGTGCTAGTGCGAATTAATTCAGCTGAATTTGTCTAGTGAGGAAAAAGAAATTGGGCCATACGGTTTGAAATGATAGGACGAGAGTGAATAAATGAAGAAAATGTTCATTGCTGAGTGTACGAATCCCATTATTAACTACATCATAATCTAACAGTTTTATCTTGAATATATCATAATCTATAAAAGTCATTTGCGGACAATTATTTCTCCGCCTCTCCATGTAAAAATAATTCCACAAGATGTCGCCAACATTCAGATAACGGGGAAAAAAAGCATGTGTCTGGTATGTCTACTTTAGCTACTTCCATCAGGCATTTCGTCTTCTTTTCCCTCTATAGCCTATTACATGACAAACCTATTTAAACATATCCACCAACATATTTTGAGGCTTTACTTCTCAAAACCCTAAAGGGGGTAATGTAGCCTGTTGAATGTGTGTTATGTGCCATGTCTGATTAAATGGAAAGCGAACTGAAGTCTGGTCACTCACTCCATTGAGTCTAATAAAAAAAAAAACACGACGAAGGAGGCGCTCTCCTCAACACTTTACTAAGGGAAGTACACGAAATGTGGACATTGGAGAACGGTCAGACGTTAACTACTGATGAAGGAGTGATATTTACCTTATCTTTCTTTAGAAAGTCAGTTCTTTTAACCATTTAGTGTCCTTTTCTGGAGAGGAAGAGCTGTCATGGGAGACGAGCGGCACTTCGCACGCGTCTGGATTATTGATGGAGAACCGCGAAACTTCGCAGTGGATGAAAAACATCACGAACACGCGAGTCCAGAGCGGTAGAACGATGGAACGCGGACGCAATACATTGTAACAAAGGCAAGTAAACGCATTGTCTCTTGAGGCGCGTCTAATACTTTGTTACTAGTAACGTCAAAGCGCCAATGTCAATATCTTGACCTTATTAGAGGTCGATAGATTTCAAATGTTAGGTCTATCTTAAGTCTAATTTTAAGTTTGGACGCAAATCGAGAAATTGTGCCTTCAACACGGGCTGTTTAATTTAATGTCATACAGAGAAAGGCATGTATTTATTAGAATGCATGCATTTGAGATTGAGCCCACTATTAAGGGAAAAAAGGTCATATTATTAGCACAAACTAGACACTCTTTGAGAAGCTGCTTATGTGTAAAATGGCAATGAATTACAATGACATAATGGATAATTTCTGGTGAATTTTATTGAATATTTTATGTGGTGCATTATTTAACATGCACAAATAAATTGGCGAATGAGTCCTATAGTGAGATATATATATATATATATATATATATATATATATATATATATATATATATATATATATATATATATATATATATATATTAATGAGGCTTACTGTAATGTCAGACATTTTCTTGAATTGTGAATACGTGATGTGATGTGAAAAGTGGTAAATACAGCAGAGGTGTCACAATGAATCAATTTAGACTACATGCATCTATGCTAATGATGCCAGTACTATTTAGTGTTCAGACATGAATGTAAGCGACAGTCAAGTTCAACTACAAAGGGATGTCTTGGGTGCATAAATAATTGTCTGTACAAATAATCAAGCTATAATTTGAAACATTCAACACAATTCGGATTTAACGATTGATCTACATCTGCTGTTTATATTTTATACTCTTGTATAATTAATTTCACCCATTTGGGAACCAGAGTGAACAGCCATTAAAAGTAAAGCTGAAATTTGTAATGGAAAAAAGAGGTCTGGAATTCATCAGTCAAGTCTTTTGATGAATCAGTCCAAACATATGCTCCAAGATGCATGGCACTATACATTGTTTCTCTATATGGATCTCATTTAACTTACAGAGTTGAACATTTTCATAGTTGTAAAGGGATACGTTTCATTTTTATGATGCAGCTTCGATTTCAAAAGGCAGCTTTGATTTCAAAAGGCAGTTTTGACCAAAATTGCATATTATTGTTGTTATTATTATTATTATTATTACACACAATTATGGCCTCAGCCTCATTGTTTACATTGGCCATATGACTGTGCATCTTTAAATACTGACATTTTGCTTTCAAGTTCTATCTGATAAGTACTCTAGCAGAACATCCAAAGCATTTCCTATGAGTTTAAACAAACCAAGTGAGTCGGCAGAATTGTAAATTACATTTTCAGAGTTGTTGAGAAACCTCTGCCAATGGAGCGTTTGTTATTCCAGAGTGAATTTGCCACATCAAATTTCTCATTTATGGACTCATGTTTGGCCAAAAGTAGCTTGGACTTTGGTGATTCTTAGTCGTTTAATTTATATTTGCCCTGGTCAATGCCTACACAATCAGCACAAGGCTTCCCCTTTGGGAGTCCAGCTGGGTAGTTTATCTGTCAGTGTAGAAATATGTCATGCCTCAAATCTAATGCAACAGTTTACAAATTGTTTGGGAATACTCTTGCTGCAATAAAACACAGCATCAGCCACTTTATTTGTAAGGATGGTTGTATTTAGAGTATATAAATTGATTTAAATAGATAGTTTATGATTTGTTTGTGGTGCTCCATTCAGAGGAATCAGAATTGTACACATCTCTGAAAATCTCATGCTGCTGTGATTTATTATGTTTCTGAAATTTTAACCAAATTGTAGGGGAATTACAGTTAGACCCCATAACAAGACCAATATGCTCAATGAAGACCAGGAGTCAAAGTTGAAGTTCAGTCAGTTGACAAAGTGTTTACTGAAGATACATTTCTCCACACTTCCAAAGGCCGTGGAAATGAGTGAGAGGATCTGGCCTCGAGCTAACTTAGTATACAGAAACACTAGTACTAGTCATATGGATAATCAGTAATTTCTACCTGTTCAGATCATAGACTGTAAAAAAAGATGGACGACGCTCCTTCGCTCTCTTCCATTGGTCAGAAGTGAAGCCGCCAGTATCCCGATATGGCGCTGACATCTTGGAACTTGAGTCTGTGCAGTAGCGATTTCGGGACCAGACATGCGCAGTAGTGAGCAGGAAGTAAAGCCGCGAAATCAAGGCTCCGCCCTCACTCTCACAGAATCAATCGCAAGCACGCGCTCCGGCACTTTAAAAAAAATTATTTATAGAAATGTATAAAATTTAAAGCTCCAATCTCCTCAGTCCTCCGAAGATCCCGAAAAAAAGTCTGTTGGTGCTTCAGCGACTACTTTGCTCAGAGAACCTGTCAATCACAGCTGTCAATCATGACGTCACACCACCGCATCAAATAACTAACTAAAAACAAACTTATTTTAAAAACAAACACTTGAAATTACATCAGCGTGATAAAAACTACCGTTAATGACAGAAATCATCTTTGGAAAAACGATGTGTAATTTAATTGTTTAGTTGCTCTCACGTGCCGTTGAATAACATGGGGAGGCGGGGTTTATGACCTATACTAGGACCGGCCACCGGGGGCGATCGAAACGTTTAGGCTTCACTTTTCAGAGCTTGTGTGGCACGCTTGGTTCAGATAGGTTAACAGTACAGATAATTCTAGCTGCACCCGAACATGGTATTCTATTCTTTATGCAAATTAGGTAATTTAAAGACATTATCTTTGACACACTTTGTTCTATATACTATACATAACAAACTTCGGTAAGGGTCACAGGTGAGTCATAGACTCCGGAAAGACTCTTCTAATCTGGGACACTGTTGAACTCTACTGGAGACTATTGCTTTGGCATTGTCACATGCATCCCATAAACAACCTTTGCAACTCAATTAGATAAAACTATGATTTCCAATTTATTATATAACACAAGAAAATCATTTGATCATCTACTGGTGAAGAAGAATTCCATTCCATTCTTTGTTTGTGCCATTTATCTTTGAATTTATTATCAAAGATGCACTGGTTCAGACATGGGCAGCCTTTTGTCTTTATAAGTGTTCTTCACAAATATTATGCAACAGTTATGCAATTACAATTAAAGTCCATGGGGGAAATGAACAATTCATTAATTTCTTTACACAGCCCATGAGTCAAGGGCTTGATTTGTATTTAACCTGGAACATTCCTGTAATGTATTACTATGTATTAAGTGCTTTTTGAAGTTTGTGCAAGAGAAATAACTGCACTTGTTTTCTTAAATTATTTAAAACAAGACAAGCCGCTATGGATTAAATATTAATATAAGCCATTATAAATAACAGGAGCATTAGCATTAATGTTTCAATCACACAGTTTAAACAAGGTATTATAATAGTTGTAGCATATAGATGATCCAATCTGTACATTAGGCTACGTTTACACTTGGCATTAACATGTGACCTGTATCCGGATGTTGTCCACATACACATACGCTACTTTCAATCATGAAATGATTCTTTTCAACATACAAGATTAATGTTGGGAAACTTTGATTGGTAGATTTAGTACTATATTTGTGATCAATTGTTCTTTTGTTGAATAAATAACAAAAATTCTGTGCTGTGTGCACTGCCATTGATAGAGGCTAAAGTGAAAGTTGTTTTACGCTACAAAGCCATTTGAAGCCTTCTGCCTTTCAAACGCGCCACAGAAATAATTTAAATATTGTCTGGGAAATATGATTGGTTATCCAGATACAGAGGCCACTTAATGTGAACAAATGTAAACACGCCATGTCCTTATTGGCTAATGATCTGATCTGTTTGATCAGATCACGGTGATTCCATGTTAATGCCAAGCGTAAAATTCTAATAGTCTAAAATTCTCTTGACTTGAATAAATTACTGAATGCATGTCACCACTTGACCTCAACCTTGATATCCCCTTTCCTCCTCACCTTTACAGATTCCCATAAGGGATCATTACAGACCAGCCTATGCCATGAGGACTCAGAAGTCCTGCGGCCGGACATCAGGCACACCTTCCCGTCAACGCCTGCCACGTTTCAGTCTTCACTCCAGGAGAAAGAAGGAATGTGTAATCCAGGGAAAGCTGCGTATCCGTTCCGTGCCAGGTGCCTTTCTGGTTCTTGGGGTGGTGGTTGTTGTTGTTGGCACTGCACTTGCTGTGGCGGGCTACTGGCCATACAGGGCTCATCGATCATCAGTGGACACAGTAGAGGAAGGATCCTCTGGAACCGCATCAGGATGGGGAATAGCGTCCAAAGGACTGCTTTCTGCAGCAAGTCTGGTTCATAGTGAAAGGATGAAACTTCTAGGACCTGTCATAATGGGAGTGGGACTTTTCATACTTATTTGTGCCAATACAGTACTCTATGAGAATAGGGACAGGGAAACTCAAATGCTTCTGGCTCAGATGCGGAGCGTCATTTGTTCTGTTTCTGCAGCCATGCCTTCGGCTGACCTCTTGCAGGTGAACTCTCTTGCCAGGCACTACCAGTGGGTCAGCAGTTTACCTGCAGCCCACCTAAACATCCTCTGCCTGCATGAAATGTCCAGTTCGGAGCCTCTACTCCAAGTAAAGAGCATGGATGAGGAGGACAGCATTCAGCAGCAAGATGCAGTGCACACTGAGGTTCTTCATCATCAGGACTCTTCCTCTTCCCCCTCTATTCAGTCCTCCGACTCTTGCAACAACAGCAAAGAGATGTTTTGCACAGAGGAACAGGGGGCCACCTCTGCACTGGACCTGCGGCAAGAAAGTCACTTTGGACTCAGCAACTGTATGACCACATCCTCTCTGTCCACACTAGGTGGGGAGGACTGTGAGATCTTCTCCATCCCACCCAGACGCTCCTATAGCATGAGCCACAGGACTAAACCACATATACTACCCAGGGATCTGGTTCATCCAGAGTACAAGACTATGTCTTCTATGGGTCACCATAGACTGCTTCCAGGACAATCCAGCTCAGAGGTGTGTGTGAACATGGTTGGAGTTGGCGTTACAACCCTTGACCTTATACCTGTGAAAGAGCAGAGGCACCGCAGCTGGCCGCGGCTAGACCTCGGAAGTGCCAGGAGGTATCTCAAGCTGGAGAACAAAGAGGACTCTGTGGACAAGTTACTGGACCAGCTTGAGCAGCAATGCTTACAGATGAACAAAAGCTATGGCTCAGGTCCCTTCCAATGAGCTGCAGTTTAATAATTACATTAATGGATTGGCAGTTCCCATGGTCATTAGGAGGAATATTACTAAGTGACACACTTGGAATAACTCAAATTGGCAGTTTCCAGTGGATATTATTTGCACAGTTTCTGGAATCCCTTGAGGCCAACTAATTTCTAAGACCTGGCCATTTATCTCACTTGACTAGTTTTTGTAACTAGTTTGTTTGGAGATTTGCGGAGTATGGAAATGTCAATTGAAAGAACATTAACACCTGCAACATGGTCCCTGCTGCCCTTGACGGTATGGGAATATAAATATACGTACTGAAGGAAGCTAGGGATGAAGGTATTTTACAGTTATGGGAATGTGCTAAACAGTTTGTGATGTCAGATGATTGGATGGATCCCACGGCTTATGTGTAAAAGGCCAGTTGGTGGAATCAGTTTGTTACTGTTGCTAAAATCCTACTTGTTACTAGGACACAGTAAGCAGCATTTCTTAATCTATGAGGTAGAATAAACTAAGACCTCGGCAGTGACTAGATTCAAAGTAAACACATTTCTAACTTCCGAATTCAGGTCAGCCAGAAGTATAACTCTGGATTTGATAGAGATAAGAGCCAAAAATAGAGAATGCTGGTTCTTTGACCAAAAAATGGATTAATCCAAACAGTGTGCTTACTATTGAAATGTCTATTCTAATTAATTTAAATGGTTACAAGTTAAGGTAGAGCAACCTCAGTTGCAATGTCTGTAAATCTGTGTCCATGGTTTCCCAGATTGTCTATTCTCCTTGCATCTCACCTTTCTTCCATCTTTGCCTGAAGCATTCATGATGAGGGTGCAGTGCCCTCTTGGCTTCATTAACCAAGGTGATCAGTGTTTTTGCATGCACTAATGCGGGTATATAATTGCTTTCCCTTTAAAGGGTGGAGCTTGACAGAGCTCCTCCTCTTTGCAGTGAGAATGTGTAACTTCACTCTGTTTACAAAAACAAGGCTGCCACCCTGTCTCTATTTTGTCTGTGTAGCCTGTTTTGGTACGTTGTGTTGTTTGCTGTGTGTTCTCAATCTATACTGAGCAATATCCACAGACTGACCAATCAGTAATCAGATACTTTACACCTTTGAACTGAATTCCATGCCTGTGTTGCAAATAAAAGGCAAAACAAAACCACTTTAAATGTAAGTGTTTGTTTGCTATCCGTGATTTTTCAAGGTAGCATCAGGGGGTCAGTTGTGGCTCGTTGTGCCCTTGCTGGTAGATGCAGACCAAAAACTTTTTGGTCCATCAATCGACATTCATATGCAAGATGAAAAAACTTATTTTTTTCTAGTTTTAGTGTTCAATGGTCATTCATATGCCATTTTCAACTCAGAGATTGTCTTACAAAAAGAAAAAAAAAGAAAATGAAAGAGAGCACATGAAGGTGCCAGTATACAGATTGGAAAATCGCCCACTGACTATATGACATTTTTTTAGAATGACATTCAAAATCTAACAAACAATAATGTCATTGTAATATTTGCTTACTGCATTGTGGTATTCTTTCTAACATCTATTTGCATACTGAGTGATATTTTTTTTAATCATTTTAATGATGTTTTATTAACAAAGTTCGGGAGGAGCACGTTCAGATAATTAACATGGGTGGAGAGCACTCAACAATCAATGATATGAGGTGTATATATAGACTCAGCAGTCTCACCTCAATCCATTGACAGTTTAGCAGCACCCCTCCACCGCCCCTTCTGGGGGGAGTACTCTGGGTTCGGGCCGAACCCCCGGACAGCACGCCAAATACACATTAAACTTTAGCCCCTCTAATTGTATGCAAGTGTGAACTCGTGAAATGATTTATAGTCAATAAAGGAGTAGGAGTAGGTGTGACGGGCAAAGCGGCTCTTGATGTCGTATTTAATTTACATTGACCCTTGGCTTAAAAATGTTTCAAAAATATATAAAAAACTATTAACTTTACTATTTTATTTAAACTCTAAAGGACATTTAGATTAATTCATAAATAAAGTAAAGATGAGATTTTTTTTTTTCAGAAAAAAAGCTAAACCTCTGACTACACCTGATTTTGGAATCCTACAACAGGAATCCCTGTTGTTTAAAGGTGCAGAAAGGCATAAGATTATTGTAATGAAGCAGAGCTCAGCGATGTGCTTTGTTATGTGTGCAAGAATTATGGATGTTTAATGTTAAACTGCTGTAACCACTCAACCATACAGCCTTAAAAGCAAGGTCTGTTTCAGTGATGATGGATGAAAGCATTGTAACTGTTTTCAAAAGTGTGAATATGGTGCTTGTACTGATTTTACTTAGACATTATATTTTTCTTCTACCCAAGTTTAAGAAATGAATTCAGCTTGAACTACTTATTGTACAGACATCAAATCTTTATACTTTTCAACTAATTTAAGATTCGTTCATTCGATTCATCGTTACACATTAAAAATCTAGCAAACGGTAATGTCACTAGAATTTGCATGATTGGTCTTTTTGTTGCTACATCATTTTACAGTCTTCACTGCATATTACTATCAACCTTTCTCTCCCTATTTATCCTACAGTGGATATAAAAAGTGTACACCCTGTTATAACAGCTGGTATTTGTGATGTAAAAAATGAAATAAAGATAAATCATAGCAGACCTTATACACTTTAGTTGTAACAAATATAACCTATGCAATCCCTTTAAAAACAAGTGACACATTTCAGAGAGAAAAATAAATAAATAATAACTTGGAATAACTAACTGCATGAGTGTGCACACCCCTACACTAATACTTAGTTGAAGCCCCCTTTGATCTGATTTCAGCACTCATTCTGGATAGGAGTCTACCAGCATGGCACATCTTGACTTCAGGATATTTTCCCACTCTTCTTTGCAAAAATGTTCCAAATCTGCTTAATTGCAGGGACATCTCCTTGCACAGCTGTCTTCAGGTGTCCTTATTGATTTTCTATAGGATTCAGGTTTGGGCTCTGGCTGGACCATTTCAAAACATTATTCTTTATTTGCTGAAGCCATTCTTTTGTTGATTTAAGTGTGGTTTGGATCATTGTCATACTGAAATGTGAAAGTCCTCTTAATTTTAAGCTTTCTAGCAGACGCCAGAAGGATCTGTGCCAAAATCGACTGATTTTCACGCCTTTAATGTAAAAATTACAACCTATGGAATGACACTAAAAAAACAAAGTGACCCATTTCATTGGGGAAAAAAAACCTTTTATAATTGATTATGTAGTTGTGTTCAGAATGAACTTATAATCAAGCAATACTATTTCATGTGAAATAGTACACACCTGTATTAATGATTAACACCTGACTCTATGATTAACTCCAAAGAGAGAACCAGTCAGTGAGGCTGTCAAGAGGCCTACAACAGCGTTAAAAGAATTGCAGCTCTGTCTGGCAGGTACTGGTTGTTCCCTACATTTGACAACTTTCTCCAGTATTCGCTATCTTTCTAGTCTATGGGTCAGGGTGGCAAAACGCAAGACTTTTCAGACAAAAATAACAAAACATCCAAGCTCACCTAAATGACCACGATGTAACTTTTTGGACAAAATGATAAAAGGTATGTTTGGCACGGTCAAACATACCAGCACAGCAAAAGCACAGCACAGGAAAAGAACACCATAACCACAGTGAACCTTATGGCGTCTGCTTGAAAGCTGAAAACGAAGAGAACTTTTACCTTTCAGCATGAGAAGGATCCAAAACACATCTGAATCAACAAAAGAATGGCTTCAGCAAAAAAAAAAAAAAATAATTAAAAAATAATCTGTGAAGGGGACTTGCACATGAGATGCCCTCACAATTCTATAGATATGGTATGTTTTTGCAAATAAAAGTGATTCCAAAGTCAAGATGCCAAGCTGATTCACACCGACTGAGTGCTTTAATAAAATCAAAGGGTGCTTCAACTAAGTATTATTTCAGGGTGTGCATACTTATGCTGTTAGTAATTCCAAGTTTTTATTTACTTATTTTTTCTCTGAAATATGTCAATCTTGTTTTCAGCAACAAGTTCTGATATGGTTTATCTTTACATCACAAAAAACAGCAAACCTGTGTAGACATTTTATATCGACTCAATTTTTTTGTTTTTACAACCTTTCTACCCATCATGTTACTTTTTTATTTTGCTGTCTTTTCCATCAGGAAATGCAAATCTAGGTCTATATCTGGCTTTTATTGATAAGGACAATTGATAAGGATGTATTGAAAAGGACAATGGAAGAGGTATTAACAAGAGCCAAATTCAAAAAATTACTTACACGAGTTTCTATCAGAGCATGTACTGGTGACTACCACGGCACTGGACATTTTTTATTTCTCCTTTTGATTTTACAGCTGATTCCTCCAGGACCAGGTTTGAGCACCACTGTAGGCCTACTAGACCACAGCTTTGACAACTCTACTTATCTTCAGAGTTGTCTTAAAATTTTTAGTCCATCTCTATTTTAGTTTTGCCAGGAATAATGATTCCTCATAAAATGTAGTTCCTGTAGTAGATCAACTGGCCACATTCCGGTCTTTTGTTCTTCCTAAAGGAACACACACTAATTGACATGTCATTTCAAGCAATGCGACATGCAATACTTTATCTCAAACAATTGTAAATGTTTTATTATTAATAATTTTGTTGTTGTTGTATAATTGACACTTTGTTAAGCTCCGCCAAACAGACACAAGATTTCTGTGAACAGCACACATTTTATATGATATAGTTAAAAAACAATATAGGCTTCAATGAAGTGTGACATTGCAATGCATTTTTATCTGTTCATTTCTTGAAGCAATTTCTAAATTAAGCAAGTAACTTGATAAAAAACTGAAATCAGAAACACTTTTCTTGGTTTAGAGAAAAGCCTCATTTGATAATGCTTAATGTTTCTACAACACATTCACTATGGTACTGTGTGCTCTTTTGTTATCAACACTATAATGACCTGAATCAAGAATTATTGATTCATAATTCATAATTTATATGAATTATTATTTATTTTCTTTTACCTTTATTTTCCACATTCATTTGGGAATTGGGGCTGACAGAGTTTAATCCATAGCACTTCCCACAAGACAGAAAATACCACTTGTATCCATAAAATTTCATCTTCACTGTAAAAAAATATATATATTGTTCGAAACTGTAAATATTATAAAACATTATTAGAGTACTTTTTTACAAGAAAACGTCGCCCTTTCCAAATAGGTTACTTGCTGTTTCTTTGTGATATTATTTGTGATATTTACTTGCAGTTTGAGTGAAAATTGTCAATCCTACACCAATATATATTTGTTTTCAGTGTAAAACATTCAAACACTCAGGACTACAGTTTACAAAAGTCTGATGACTTGGCAGAATACAACAACCTTGGTTTGTCAACTA